GCCTTGTCCTGCCTTGTCCTGCCTTGTCCTGCCGGGACGGGACACCACGCCAGCCCCACGCTGTGGACACCACCTCCCAGTGCCGTGCCTCGCCCGGCTCCTTCCTCACCATCACCTTCTGCTTCGCTTGCAGGAGCCTGATGCCGCGAACGCTCGACAGCCAGATCACAGTGGAGAAGACCCCCAGCTACTTTGTCACCAAGGAGGCACCACGGCGAATTTTCAACATGTCCCGGGACACGAAGCTGATCGTGGTGGTGAGGAACCCGGTCACCAGGGCCATCTCGGACTACACGCAGACGCTCTCCAAGAAGCCAGACATCCCCACCTTCGAGGGGCTGTCCTGTAGGGGACATCATTTAGTGCCTTCTGGCTGATAATCTGTAACTGGGGGCAGCTGGGACAAGCGTTTACCTCTTCATTTTCTTAGATATAAATGCTATCTCTCTGCAGTTTCATTTTACAGTATGGTAATATGCTATCCAGGAAAGTCTTGCTACATGCTAATTTATCCAGTAGGCAAATTCCTTTTGGCTAATAAAAGTGCTTGCACAGGAAGCTCAAAACCCAGCAGCAATTAATTATTGACAGAGCATGTGAATTAGAGATAAAAGAAAAGTCATTCTTTCTCACACACAAGATAGTAAATAAATTTAATTATTGTACTAGAAGCAAGGGATCTTATTCTGTATTAAGTTTTATTAGCTGAGACATTTAAAAGCATGTCATCATAACAAAAAGGTCTTGTGTAATCCTAACTGCACCACTCTGGTACAAGGCTCTGAAGTGAATAGGCTTAATTGAGCAAATGGAAGCAGATGGCTTGCTGAACAGACAGGTATTGTACAGGTTTATTGTCAATTAACTTTTGTCTACATATGCCTATGGCGAATTGACTGTATAATGTGTTACCAAGGCTGGTTTAACACTTCAGGTGCCCACCATGTCCAGGGTCCGAGAAGAAACAAAGCCAGAAGTGCTTTGGTCCCCGGGGCCCACAGGTGTGACAGCATCCCCCCCTCCCGAAACGTCCCGCCAAAATCTGCACGGGGCAGGAGGGACACCGAGGTGTGCGCCTGTGCCTGGCCCCTTGCTAACCACCCCTCCTCTGCTTCTGCGCAGGAATGTGATGCCCAAGACGCTGGACGGCCAGATCACCATGGAGAAGACCCCCAGCTACTTCGTGACCAACGAGGCCCCCAGGCGCATTCACTGCATGGCCAAGGACACGAAGCTGATCGTGGTGGTGAGGAACCCGGTCACCCGGGCCATCTCGGACTACACGCAGACGCTCTCCAAGAAGCCGGAGATCCCCACCTTCGAGGTGCTGGCCTTCAAGAACCGGACCCTGGGGCTGATCGATGCCTCCTGGAGCGCGATCCGCATCGGGATCTACGCCCTGCACTTGGAGAACTGGCTCCAGTACTTTCCCCTCTCCCAAATCCTTTTTGTCAGTGGTGAGAGGCTCATCACTGACCCGGCCGGGGAAATGGCCAAGGTCCAGGACTTCTTAGGCCTCAAGAGGATTGTGACAGAGAAACATTTTTATTTTAATAAAACGAAGGGGTTCCCCTGTCTAAAGAAGCCAGAGGACAGCAGTGCTCCCCGGTGCTTGGGCAAATCCAAGGGTCGAACTCACCCCAAAATAGACCCAGATGTCATCCACAGACTGCGGAAGTTTTACAAACCCTTCAATGTCATGTTTTACCAAATGACGGGCCAGGATTTCCAGTGGGAGCAGGAAGAAAGTGATAAGTAGAACCATGAAATCAGGAAAAAAGCTCTTTTCTTTTGAGATGCGAATCATCGCTAGAGACCCAAAACTCGCTCGGGGCTAGAGGCTCAGCCTTGCGAGCGCAAGACTCTTGCGCTGTCAGGGTTGCAGCCAAAGCCGCCCTGCGTCTCCAGCTCTGACACCTTAGTGGCACGTCACCTCGGGTTGCACTTGGGCTGCCCCCCGTGACGCTGAGGGATCGGGGGGCAGGTGGGAGGAGGAGGCGGTGGAGGGAGCGGGCTCCTCGGGGTGATGGGATGCTCCGTGTCGACATTTCGCTGCTGGTGTCCCCCTCGCAGCCAGGCAGGCAGGAGCAGCACCTCCTGCCACAGCTAGCTGAGCAGGAAGGTGATTCACAAAACCCAGCAGCACGGGGACAAACCCATAGATTTGATTTCTCCTGCCCGGCTTTTAGTTTTGCCCAAACAGCAGCATCAGATCTGGTAAATTCAGGCCACGTGCATTCACAGGCACACTGGTATTTGTGTGTGGAAGGAATAAAGCCAGTTATGTTGCAAAGGAACTATGTACAGAAACTTCATTTGCACCAGACGTTTCAATTACTTGTTGCACTAAAACTAGTATTTACCAAGTGCCACAAAACACCCGGGCCCGATTCTCCTCCGACAGATGGATATAATGCCACTGTTGGAAGAGAGTCGTTCCTGCTTTGCTGGGATGCTCGGTGAGACCAGAACCAGGGCCTCCCTGGACCCCCAGCTCCTCCGGGAAGCCGTACTGAGGACTGTTCCCAGGCAGCTGCTGAGAGCGAGCCGGGCTCTCGCCACCCGTCCGGGCTGCCGAGGCGCGGTGCGGGGCCACGCGTGCTCATGCAGCACCTCCTGGCACGGCCATGCTGCCCCGCTCCACGGCTTGGAGCCAGGTGTTCCTGGTGCGAACTGAGGGGTTGACTGCAGCGGGGAGGCATGGGCGACAGCCCCAGCCTAGGGTCTGGGTAGGGCTGACCATTGGGGCCCTTGGCACTGCCCTTCATTTGCACCTTGAAAATGAGAGCTCTGCTGCTTGCTGTTGACAGACAGGTTTGCAAAATGGGGAAGCAGCTTTCATCTTTACTTCAGAATTACAAAAAAGCAATTAATTCCCAGGGTGAGCACTGCTCTGTGCAAAAAAAAAAAATGTGTGCTTGCTAGTGGAAATGACCAAGTCAACCAAATTTGCAAACCCTGGTAGAAACTGTAGAATAAACCCATATCCCAACTGGATCCTCTGGCAATGTGATGAGAGCTGCATGCTGGAACCAGTGGAGAGCAGGACAGCAGCACTTTGACATTGCTGCACTGTTTCTATCTCCATTACTGAGAGGAAAAACAGTAACAGAAGGAACAAAAGGAAAAATGCAGAGCTACCGTTGCTGAAATGTTCCCTTCGCAGGGGTGATTTCTAAGGGCATTCAGATATTGCTGGCCACTTACTTTGTTTTAATGAGTGGTAAGGATGCTTCCCGGGCGGAGCGTGGCTGTGTGAGTCCCCCGTCGCCTGTTGGGTGCTGGGTTGCTGGCCGTTGGAAAGCAGCAGAGATGCAGTGTGGAATCGCAGTGGGAGGACCAAGACTCAGTTTTGATTAAGGTGGCAAGAAATCCCTACTGATCCAGCTAACCAAATGAAATTGCTGTTACGTTGGGTAACAAGCTGAACCTGCTTTGAGTTTCATGGCCTGTCCTGTGGTTCATTACACCATGAAGTGGTGCTGGTGCCTTGGATTGGATGAAAAAAAGAGTTGAAGCCATTTGGAAAATTGACACCATGGGCCATGCTGGAGGGGCACCGCAAGGTCCCTGCTAACGTCACGTCAGTTCCTATTAGCCTGATTAGATCTAAAAACAGTTCCTGACAATACAGTTTTTCACAGACCCACAAATCCCAAAATTAGTACATGAAAATTGGAAGTACATAATAGGAATAATTTTACAGTGTTTCCCACGTTATTAAAATGTCAGATCAGCTCCTACGTGAAAACCGTTGTTACACAATTTGGTGCAAGCTGCTCGATGGATTCAGTTGGAGGACGAGGGTCTTACCAAGGTCCACTGTCCAGGCTCCTCACCAAAGGGATATCCAGAAATTTTTCCCCGTTCCCAGCATGCTGCAGCCGCAACGCCACGGTGGGCTGGCCCTGACGGTGCTGAGCAGAG